AAAGCTTTTAAGAAAATGATCCTGGAGGGCAGACGGTGAAAGAGGGTGAAGTAGTCTTCGACAAATCCGTGGTGGGAGGTTTTCAAATGAACACCCTGTATAAGAACATTGCTGTGTATTCACTCTGGACGACTTTTGTTGAGGCAACTGCTGCCCCTGTATGTACAGTAAGATTATCACTACTTCGGTAGCAACCAAAATGGTACCTAGTATTAGATTGTTATTTTGTATATTCTCGTACTTGCATGGAAGTTATCCTCCTCCGCCAATAACAACACTGATATGATGGAACCATAAAAATTGTTACAGATCGACCAAAAAAAGATATTTTGACCTGAAAATTGAAGAACCCCAAAAAGGATACGATCGTCAGGATTTGGTCACAAAACTGAGTCTTGATTTATTAGAAGCGCTTCAGATATTTTTCACGTTCCTGCTCTGTCGCTCCAGTCACAGTCCCTGTTCTGGTTCCAAATCTTAATTCCGTATCTGTTTTTGTTCCGATTATCCTAATTCTGCATGGGGCTACTTTTTTAAATCTCGGTTCATTTTATTGTTGGTGCCAGATCTTGGTTTTCTTTTTTATTACCTTCCAATTTCCAAGTTTCGATCTCGTCTTTCACTCCATTGTTACTTCCGCTTCGTATCCCTCTTACTTCACGTTTTCTGTTATAGCTCTTGCTTCCTTTACCTTCCGCTCCCGCGCCCATTCTGTTACGGTAGCTCTAAATTTGGATCTATTTTTTCGATTTTTAAGGTGATAGGTAGAGTTGAGTTTCGATCACTTGAGTTCACAAACAATTAGGTTGTAGAAATTAGAGGATCAAATTTTTTAATAAATTATGTTTGGTGGAATTGCAAAAATTCGGTAGTAGTTGGTGGAACCAACATTAGTTTTTAGCGCATTTCCACAAAAATAAAAAAATGCGCTATTGTGGCCACTTTGTCCTTCCATCCGTCCGTCCGCCCGTTCGTTGAGACGCCACTAGTTCTTTATCTCTAAGAATGGAAAAATGGAAGCATTTAAACGCAATTTTATACACTTGGAATAAAGGAAAATCAAACGCCAGTTTCAAAATTTGGTTTTGCGCATGCGCAGTGCCAATTTTTTTATTTATGGAAGCATTTAAAAGAAATTTGATACATAGGCGCTTGTTACAAAGGGAACAGTGGGGACTAATTTGTTACCCCAATGCAATACCTCCCTTACTAACGTGCGGGTGATCTGTTTCCTCTTTCTCTATAGTTGCATTTGTACCTATATCTTTGTCCCTTTCAGCGTTCGTCCTTTCTTCTATTTCTCTTCTCCTTTCAACCTCTGACCATCCAATTCACCTTCTCCTTCTCCATCTTGGTTCCTCCTAATACCCACTTGTAGTATCTTCTTTGTATCCCTTATAATTCATCCCATTCCCTTCATCCCCACATTTCCATCCCACCTGTAGCACCCTTCTCGCCATCGCATCAAAAATGTGCTTTCTTGTTCCGAACTATTTTATTTACGGAAATGCACGTTTTGACGCACCAGGAATCTGAATCAGACAAAATCTCGATGATGTCGATGGGTCTGTCGGTTTGTCGGTGTGTCGGTCTGTCTACTTGTACTCTCATTTTCTGGTACATATTCTTAGACATAAAAGGGCAGAATCGCCGTGCGGGTGGGATCTGTGCTAGCCACCGCAAATTTTTTTAATTTACTCACTCATATTCCCTATACCTGTCTCATTAGCTACTTTTCCCTTTTTTCCCTTCAGGTTAATTTGCCCCAATACTTCGTTTTATCTGGTATCCTAAGTACTGGGATTCTCATACTTACTCTACCATTTCCTCCTTTCACTTCCGTTCTATTTCACTTTTCCTTCCTCTCCCATTACCAAATCTCATCTTAGATTTTCCATGTCCTCTCTTTTCCAGTGTCTCTCCATCGTTCTCATCATTTCCTTTATGTGTGTTTTCACCTCTTATTACTGCGTCGTCCCCGTATACCGTGGACCATGACTTCCTTCTTCTCACACCGATTCCTCCACTTTGATTGGTATATATTTCCCCATCCTCCATCATTTTCCGTACTTTATCCTTTTCTTCTCTGTCAAAGTGCCTTTAACTTCACTTTTCCGCACTTTTTTCCAGTTTGTGTAGTACATCCTTCTCTCTCCCCTTTGGCACCTCTTTTGTGAATCGCAACTACTACCACTCCCTTAAATTTTTCCGGTAGTCCTCCTCCGTTCCATATCTTGTTTATGAGTTTCCTCATGTTCTCCTTGATACTATCTGTGTTGAAAATCCATTCATCCCTTTCTGCCACATTCTTCAGTGTCTTTAATTGGTGTTCAACCCTTTCTCTTGCTCTCTCGGCTCTTTCCACTTCCTCCCAACAACCTTCCTCTGTCACCTCCTCTTTCTTATGATTTCCCTAGTACCCAGCCCACTATTTGTATTTCTCTCCAACTCATTATGTTTTCCTCTGTTTATCACCTTCCAAAAGGGCTTCTCTGATTTTATTTCCCTGATTTCTTGACATTTTCTTTACGTTTCCTCAACGTTTCCTATTCTCTCAACTCCTTTCTCCTCTATATCTCCATTTATTTCACCGTCATTGGTTTGTACATGTTTCTCTCTTATGTACACTCTCTCTCCCACCACTTCCGTCCCCTCCATTTACCTGTTTCCATGTTTTTGTTATTTTAATACCCTCATTTTTTCCACTCATCTGTGTTTTCACCTGTTTCTTCTTCCTGTTCCCATATTCTCATTTTATCAGCTTCCACAGTGTCTCTTATCCATACTGTATCTCCCAATTTCTTGATCTTTTTATCTTCCTTTTAGACTGATTTCTATACTATCTTCGTCTCTACTTTTTATTTCTTCCAGTACTTGGTCTGTCTTGTTATCCTCTTCCCATCTCTACTTATTTTCTTTTATCCCCTCCAATATTATCCCCATTCCCTTCCTTCTCATCATCATATTTTATATTTTATATTTTCACTGTTTCATTTCTTCTCTGTGATATACACGTATAGCCACTCTCATTTTTTATTCCTCCACTTCCACGCGTCTATGGCTCCCGCCATTTTCACTCCCATCCCCCCATTCTGTTAACTTATTTCCTACCCCTGTTTATATACCCGCTTTTGCTCTTGATCTTGCTGTTTATGTGATCCCTTTTCTCAAATTGGTTTTCTACGACCTACGACCTATGTACACGTTATTTTCGCTTAAGCGCCTTCAATAAAGATGGGCTACCCTGTGTGTGACGTAATTTTAATTTTTAAGCGTGAATTTGGTGAATTTTTACGACTTAACGCAAAGCGTGATCGTTTGATTTGCATTTGTATTTTAGTATTTGTTTTTCTTTTTAGAAATTGGTTTGGCTTTAGTAATTTTTTCATTTTGTGGGTTATTCAATTTAGAAGTAACCCACATCTGGTAGAATTTGCGTTATTTAAAAAAGGTTATATCTGGTCGTTGCGATAAGAAGATTTACCGTTAGGTGAAATTTAATTAATAGACATGTGGTTCTGAAAAGAGGTTGCAGATGAAGTTTAATTGTGATTGGCGATGTATGTGGCAATTCATGAAGAAGGAGACTGTTTTATAATGGAATAAGTGGTCTTCGGCTTGCTACGCCCGCCACATTCTATATCATCATGTTACTCATCCTAATTTTTCTTTTGTTTGGCTCTTTTCTTCTGTTGCTCTGTTCTGTTTTCTTCCCTCCTCCTCTCACTCTCCCTGTTCTCTTTTTTGATATTAGTTTCTCCCTCCAAACCCCGCCTTTTGCTCTACCGTTCTCCTCCTGTGTGTTCTCACTTGTCTTTTTTCTCTGTAAAGTCAAGTTGCCCTAGCTTCTTTTAGCTTCCCCTTACCCTTCATAATTTTCCTGTTAATTTCCCATGTTAGTTCCGTAATTTTAAATTTATTTTCTCCATTTTTCTCCTCTTAACGTTATATTGTTCCTTACCGTCTTTCTCCTTTTTGCTATTCTTTCCATCAGTTCATGTTTTTTTCCTTATCCCATTGCCTTTCTTTTCTCTTCATTTACTCCCTTGTATCTTCCAATTCCTTGCATCGTTTTTCATTTCATTTTTTCTTTTTGCTCCTTCTCATTTTCGGCCCTTCACTCCGTCAAGGTTTTCCCCTTCCATCAATTCACTCTCTCCTTCTCTTTCAAATCCGCTTCTCTCAGCCTCTTCTTTTGTTTGTTCCAGTTATCTTATACCTTTCTTGCTCCAATTGGAGCATCCTCCCATTTTACTTTTTACTCCCCTGACCCATCCCCGTCTGCGTTAGGGACTGAACACTGAACAGCTCGGTGGGATTCGTTCCTCTCAGCCTACACAGTATGTGAATGTGAGTCACCTGTCTTACTGGAAATATTGAAAACGCCCTCCTCGCTTCGAATTTTAAAGGGGAATTAAATAAAGAAAAAAACACATCCCTGCCACTGGGTTTTCAAATAGTTACATTTTGTTGACAGGATATCCTGTATTTACACGAATTAGTGCCATTTAATACTCAAGCAAAAATTCCTTTCAATGAATGACTTCAACGAAATTTCATAACAAAATGAGGCTCATAACTGGTCTTCCTTAAACCATACTCTAAATACGGCCCAAAACCGAATACCCGAAAAAATCTCTGTTTTAGACCACACTTGGTGTAACGGCGGCGGTCCCAACCCGTGTGTCTTCCTACAGAATATTTGGGGCGAGAGTAACTATGACTCTCTTGCAAAATACCCAGCGGTAACGTAAGGTAAATGAACTATAGAACTAACGTAGTTAGTTAAGTTCTCTTATCGTAGTCGTGCAAATGATTAGGTTGCACGAGTCATCGTTTCGAGCAGCTACCTCCACGTGGTTCCCCTTTGAGTGATTCTTTTCCAGCGGATTTTGCTTTACGGAATTTGTCGAGCTTTCCTTTGCTCTTCTGCACCACCGAGTGACTTAATTTTTGCCGAGCTCAAACGGGCTTGAGGGGGTGCGAAGTGGATGGAGCTTTAAGAATGTATTTTCTTCAAACAATTTCACATACTACAACTACATACAAACAGCATAGTTGGCGAAAACCGAGCATTATCTACTTAGGTGCTAACAATTGGATAAAGGATCCATATCGGTTCATATCAGGTACGGATCTAACAATTCAAGTCCACTTTAGTTGTGGAACGCGGTAGTAGAGTGTACTACGCAAAAGGCGTACTCAGACACCTTTTGGCACTCGTCGGTAATGCCCCTAGTCTTCTCCATGCAATAATCGCTCGCACTGTTGGTTATCTTTTCGACACCCTCAACGAGTTTCTCCCCTTCGAGGTTGCCACCGACGCTCAAGAAGTCGAACGCCTTCATCAAGCATGTGAGGTAGCATTGAAACGATTTGGTTTTGGGAAACTCGTACCTCTGCCAAAAACCGTCCACCTCTTGGGCGGTGGCGCCAGACGAACTCTGGCATCGCGGACTATCGTCTTTGGTGCGTTCCCTCCATGCGACGAACACCTCCTGCATACTACTCTGAAATACGCACCTTAGCGCGATTTGTAACAATGCACTACTTACAGATGAGGTGAAAGAGGAAGATTCGTGGACGGCCACGACAACAATCAGAAGAACTTTGAGAAGCATGATCACAATGGCTACCTCAAAGTGAACGCTTTTATACCTCAGCGTCCGAGATCACATGCCCCCTAAATGGTGCTAGATATACAGTGTGTCCGATATCCACTCAAGTGCAGCCTGCAAATCTGTCGGAAGTTCGGCGCGTGATTACCTTCGCTCTTACCATTGGTCGTTTTTAGTGGATGGTTCAAGCCTCACAACAGAAATGAGCGTGACGCCAAAGCTGAACGAATTTACTCGTCTCGGACCACGCTATACAGTCGCGATCGTATTGATGCGAAATAAATCTTGACAGTAATGGAAAACAAATCGCACAATACGCGTTATTTATGTGAGAAGATTTGTTGTTGATTTCATCCGTGACTTTTTTATCGCTGTAAAAAGTCATGTTTGTTCATGAGACTAAAGTGCTTATCGGATGATGCGATTTTAATACAAATTGTGCAAATTAACTAAATAATTAATCAAACAGAACGGACAACGTGGCCCACGGCATCGAGTTTGAAGCATTTGAGGACGTTAACACGCCTGAAGCGACTAGGAAGTGTTTACTAGCCTGATGGGTTGATTGCGTAATACTAGAAAAACGGAATTCCCAGCCACTGTCTTTACGCTACTTGGTCGTTTTTGTTCGTGAAACCTAAGTGATTTGGTAATGGATCTCTCCTGCCTTCTATATCGGCTCTATACCTTGTGAATTTGTTAAATTTTGTATTTAAAATGCGACCTTACATGGAATCGTGGCCACTTCTTTAATTTACCTACACGATACCACATTACAATCCGTAAACATAAGAAATAGAAGATGTTGAACCCAGCTATAGGTTTAATTCTTTTGACCCTTAATAGCACGCTAATGGATTGGCATACAAATATAGGAATAATGCGATTACCTTATCACACAATATTCACCACCCCTAACCTTCTGGGAATTAGGCTAGATCACCGACTGCTTTGCGAGCGTATTTCGATAAGGTTGGAAACTCCTGTGCCTTGCACAGGGAGGCAGCTTGACTTTTTCTGTGATTTATTACCTTATGCAACTTTTCATTTAAACTGAACGCTCGTATAGATCAAATTGACACAGTATATGTGTTAAATTAGTCGCCTAAAGCTAAGTCGACTCTGGCGGCGGGTTCTATCGCAAAAATCTCCACGAAAATTCTATTCTAAAAAAGCTACCGCACTGCTCAACACAATTTTTTCGATTGTTTAAGTACCGAGATTATATACCTCAAAATTACAGATGATTCACTCGACTCTTGGACTGCATCGCGACATACAGCGTTTTTTATCTGGCTACCTTTCACGGAAGCCTTCCCCACTAACTTCAATTTAAAAAAATACGCCCCAAAATGGATACTAATCGATTCCGCCAGTCGGATTGATTCCTTTTCGCCAATTTGATCGTTAGGAAAGCAATTTTGGACGATAGTAGCCTTAACATTTCGTTGTTGTTGTGTTACGTAGGCGATCGTAAGGGATTTCGCGTTGAGCCGTACGCGAAGTTAGGTCAACCATATGTAAATTACCGTGGGGTAAGTTTTATTTGTAAATAAAGAATTCAAGTCTAACAGTGGGACAGGACTACCCGTAATGTAGCGAATGGTGGGCTTATATTTTGGTGTGAGACTAATAATAGAGAGCGGGTCTTATTTTCGGAGAAAGTAAAATAAGTGCGTAAAGTTTAAACGCGCGCATTAAAACATTGACGACCTTCAACTTCGTTCGTCTTACGAATTTGAAACTATCACGGTAAATACGAACCATAGCCAAAGATTTAAATTCCGCGAAATTAAATTCTGTGACCCTAGTAACTCTACAAGACTAGACTGGAAGCTCATATGACAATTTTGTGGTCAATAGTGCGGAATAATATTTTAATGCGACATTTTAGTGAAAGGAGTCCGACAGCGCGGTTTATTTAATTTAAATTTGATTAAATTAGTCCAGGTAGGAGTGGAAAGAAAGTGTCATTTATGGTGCGTTTCCTTTAAAAACTCTTGGGGATTAATTGAGATGGCTTCATGCCATTGAAGATCTTTGGTAGGTTTAATGGAGATCCACAGACGGGTTATGATAACGTGGGTGAGATAGTTAGCTGCTGCGAGTCGAGTTGCGTTGGACCGTTTCGGTTTTTCTGCTGGGGACAGTTTGACCTTTAACACATTGGGCGTGCTTTAAAGATTCGATTACACACTAACTTGTTTTTTAATGTACTAATTTGGTGGTGTTATTTTGGTGAGTGGCCCTTAAATTCAGCCCCAATTTATTAAATGCATTTGCAAAGTTATGGTGCAGGGCGACGGATAGTAGTGGGACGGTACGGTGGCAAACGACGTTTAGCAACGGTCAAACAAACACTACATTTTTTTGCACACCAATGGCGAGCGAGCCGAAGGCAAGTTCGGCATAGCTCGGGCACTCCTTTAGACTCGCCTCTCTACGTCCACGGTGGCAAACGACGTTTAGAAACGGTCAAACAAACACTACATTTTTTTGCACACCAACGGCGAGGGAGCCGAAGGCGAGTTCGGCATAGCTCGGACCCTCCCTTAGACTCGCCTCTCTACGTCCACGGTGGCAAACGACGCCGACGTTTAGCTACGGTCAAACAAACACTACACTTTTTGCACACCAACGGCGAGCGAACCGAAGGCGAGTTCGGCATAGCTCGGGCCCTCCCTTAGATTTGCCTCTCTACGTCCACGGTAGCAAACGACGTTTAGCAACGGTCAAACAAACACTACACTTTTTTGCACACCAATGGCGAGCGAGCCGAAGGCGAGTTCGGCATAGCTCGAGCCCTCCCTTAGACTCGCCTCTCTACGTCCACGCTGGCAAACAACGTTTAGCAACGGTCGGCCAAACAAATTGTTTGCGTTTTGTCCGTCCGTCCGTCCGGACCCACTTCTGCCGTTTCGAACTACTTCGACGACCATCAAATTTCGCTGTCTAAAAGGTGGGCGCTCCCACGGGGGGGGGGGGGGGGTTAACACATGTTCTACCTTCTACACTTCATGGTATTCTAATGAAAGGTCTCATCGAAATAAATTGGTTTGTACAAACTATAACTTTCCCGTGCGACTCTTTTCCGAGATCAGTGAGTGACGGGGCCTGAAGGGGAGGGGGTGGAACTAGTTGGATCCTTCATTGTACTCTAATGAAAGGTCTCAACGAAAGGAATTAGTTTCTATCAACCATAGCCCTCCTCCTCGGCCTCTTATCGTGATCGGGTATATTCCCTTACACCTCAAGAACGGATTGTCGGAAGAGGGTACTCACAAAGGGCGATTGAGACGTCTGCAAGAAATATATCGATTGGTGATGTCAAAACAAAAAGCTATTTCGGTTTTAAAAAAATGCGCTTTATCTGCACAAGAGTTGTGCACAATTTATACTTATTATATATGTTTTGTAAAATATCACTCTAAAGTAGTTTCTATTATCGGTAGACACTTTCCGCTGACGATAACGTCTTACAGACGATTTAATGCTCGGAAACAATTAATGAAATTTACTTGTACTGTATTTAGACAACTATTACATTAAAGCGAAGAGGGTTACTTTCGATTTCTTTTGGAGTTTCAATTTTGAGTTTTAATGTTAGTTCAAAATCAAGTTTAAAAAATCAAATGGAATGATATGACTTTTTCTTTATGAAAAAGTAGCCAAATAACATCCAAAGAGGCTAGTGAAAACCGTTTTTCAAAATATCGTTCCTAACCTGAAATATTGGGAAAATGAGATTAATTAATTAATTAATAAAAATGCTTAAATTGTATCTTATTTGACGTATTTCCGGTATTTGTCGCTGCCGCGAAAGAAAAGGACCCTACATTTTTAGGTAGGCCTTGGAAAATAAACAAATGAAACACGATCCATTATAAAATAATAACAGCCGTAATTTGTAAATTATTCTGCTGTATTTACATTCAGAAAGTGCAGTTTTTTGAATTTGTAATCTTTTCTAAAATGCCGATTTCTAACTAAGAAGCATTTAATATGCTGGCGCCGATGGTTTGTGGTCGATTCGGATAACGCAAATAGAAGATGTGGGCAGCGATGGTCGCATTTTGAAAATACTCAAAATATATCGCCAGCATATTAAATGCTTCTTGGTCAGAAATCGGCATTTGAGAAAAGATTACAAATTCAAAAAATTGCACTTTCTGAATGTAAACACAGCAGAATAATTTACAAATTACGGCTGTTATTATTTTATAATGCATCGTGTTTCATTTGTTTAATTTTCCAAGGCCTACCTAAAAGTGTAGGGTCCTTTTCCAAACAATCTTTCGCGCCATCGACAAATACCGGAAATACGTCAAATAAGATACAATTTAAGCATTTTTATTAATTAATTAATTAATCTCATTATTTTCCCAATATATGAGGTTAGGGACGAGATTTTGAAAAACGGTTAACACTGGCCTCTTTGGGTGTTATTTGGCTACTTTTTCATGAAGAAAAGGTCATATCATTCCATTTGATTTTTTTAGGATTTTGGATCATAGTGTCAAAACTAGCCCCCTGGCGGAGAAAGATTCAACTAAGTTAACTATATTTCTCTGGTTGTCCTGGTTTCCCAAGGAATGCTCTTTTCAACGATACCGAATTTGTTACAATTGGTTAAATGGTTAAGAAGTTAAAGCATCACACACGCCATCTTTGCTTTTGAAATAACTGAGTTTTTGTTTTTACGAAAATGATAGATAACCTGGTTCTCTTTAAAAATGTGAAAAAAGAATGTTTAGTTTATTATGCGAAATTATAGAAAATACAATTTTAAAATTTAAGTTGTTGGCAGTTACGCCCTCTTGTGGTCATTTTTAGAACTTGAAAATATTTTCCAACGATTCTTCATAACCGATTTACCCAATACTTTTTTTTAGTCCTAAGTCAGACGACAAACGGTTCCCGAGATATGGACGAGGAACTGTCTTAGTCACCCGGTACATTGATTTCCATTGTTGTTATAGCGCTGATGGTTATGTAAGCAAATGAGTTATTGGGGAAAACTGTGTTTTGGTTTTAAGTCGGAATTGGATAACTTTCAAATGGGATAAACAAGACATTGTTCTGTT